TTATGCTTGGTTAAGAATTCTATTCAAATCAGCAAACGAAAACATTCTGTTACGTCTCAATTCATTTGAGAAGCCATATAAACAACTCGAGCTCGTGTTTCACCGGGATATCCAAACACTCGAAAACAATGTATGAAAACACTCGCGCTTCGCCCTTGTGTTCTCATACATTGTTTTCTCGTGTTTGGATATCCCGGTGAAACACTCGCTCTCGTTGTTCATATATTACTTCAGAACCATCCTCAGAGATACGAAAAACTAGTTTCATAGTTTCATCATCTGATTATCAATTTCCCGTTTGTAATACCAAATGACTGAAAAACGGCAAACTTCGCAAGGCTATATTATCCGCATTTTACAACATTTCGCAACGAAACTTTGGAATATTACTAATTTTGTGATGCTCTTTCAAGCTGTGATGAAATATTTGTCTAGATCAAAATTTAGTCCATGATGCAAATAGTCCATTACGGCAACACAATTGTGAATGGGTGTCTATCGCTAATAAACACCCATTCACAACTCCGCAGAGTGCTCATCAACACCGAAGACGAAGTGAAGGAGCGTAACAGTATGGATGCATGCATGTGTGTGTGCATGGAAGCCGTAATTTGTATTTGGCGTAAAGAGTGTTCCATGCAAATATTAAAGAGGGTTCATTCCGTCGATACTGTTTTGCGGTACATAGAAGAAAATAAAATTAAACTTTGTGTGAACAAGAAGAATTAAAGAAAATCGCTATAACTTTGAGACCAGAATCCACCAGATTTTGAGACACTCCCTTGCGAGCATCGAGTATTTTCATGGCAAAGAAATTTCGTCCACTGGACGGAAGATGCTGCAAGAGAAGTTTGAAATTGCAATGGACCCTGGTGAAACCGCTTTTGATACAGGTATGAGATAATACATGATAGTTGCGCCCAATAATCACTAGGCGTCTTGGCAGGGCTATAAAATGTGCGCCTGGTTGACTGCTATTCAATTGAGGCCAATCACAGCCAATTTTTAGGTAGATCACAAAAGGCACCTCATTAGTATTCCAATAATCTTATGGCGGCTTACAATTAGTCACTAATTAATGTGTAATAAAGAGTTTCCGCATATTACTTTTTACTGTGGGACTACTTGCCATTCTTACCCAAAATTGCTAAATTAAACCTACTATTTATGCAATTTGCTAAAAATGAGTATGGTATAAACAAATCATATTTCTAACTGATTAAGGTAAAGCCCCGTTTATACACTACGCTCAATTTTTGGTATACGGCACGCGGATAAAATTGGTATCCGTACCACTTTTTTGGTTCTTGGACTACCTAATTTAGGTAGTCCAAGAACCAAAAAAGTGGTACGGTACCAAAAATTGAGCGTAGTGTAAACGGGGCTTTATTGAACGTTAAAGATGAACTATAAGCATGCTCATATAGAAATGGTGACTCTGGTGACCTGCATGAGGAATATTCAAATCCCAACCCAGACAGTTCAGACAAGTGTGTTGCCCATGGCCGAAACCTGTGTCACAGAATAAGGTACACAGAAGGCCGACTTCGTTTTTCCTATGATTTTCCTATTATTTTGGCGTAACCCGTAATTCGTCATCAAATGCTGACGCTATGGTCCTAGCCAGTGCGCGTTTCAGAGGCATTCACCCGCTGATAATATTCAATATGGCGGATGTCCAGGGGGGAATGCCTCTCAAACGCGCACTGGCTAGGACCATGGCGTCAGCATTTTGATGATGAATCATGGCGTGGCAGTGGTTACTCGAGTCGACCTTCTGTGTACCTTATTCTGTGCCTGTGTAGTTGACCTGAGCATGCCGGCAGTGACTGTATAGTCATTTATGCGAGACAGCCTGAAAAACACAGACAAATGGGGTAAAGCAGCTTTTGTCCAACAGCAGATTACTTGTATTGGTAATTCCAAATCTACTGTCTGGATGCAGGCAATTTCATCATTTTTTTTCTCAAAGGGTCTATATTCATTTGGTTATCGCCGATCGAGTCGGTAACTACTTTGTGCAATCTTTCCACGGGTTAAATCAAATCAAATAACTGGGAAGTCGCGAAAATTTCTCCAGTCTATAGCTATAAATACGGTGCGTTAACCCAAAGAGGTAACTTTAGACTAATATCAATACTCGCAATATTATCTAAAGCGAAGAGAGAGCCAGAGGCAGAGTCTGCATGTAAAGGACACATTTTAAAAGAACTTTTGATTTCAATTTATCTTTGTTTAAAGAAACGTAATAAAAGTGGCTTATTTTTGCAACCGCATCTGGGTGTATTATAAATATATTTGTATTTTGCACCGTAAATATCAAATGTGCACATATCTTATTTTACGTTATCTTAAATATTCTTGACAAATTTATAGGTAGTCTAGTTGGTCAAGGTTATAACATCTTAACCAATAGATCAGCCGCCACCCAAGTGTTCAAGTTTGATGTTACCAAGACCCAATACGGTATTGCAATTCCGAAGTGTGCGAAATTTGAAAAGGTTCAGCAAACCAGAAACTATATGGATCAGTTTGAAAATTATGAATCATACACGGAGTCGAGGCTGAAGAATCTTAATGTAAGTATAGGTGTCAATCCCAACGTGCTGAAGATGGGTAATAGAGCTGGATATAATAGGGACGATTATTCCACCTCGTCGGAAGTTTCTTTCTTGTTCGAGCAGCGAATGTTTGAAATAAAGTTTGGAAACTATGAGGGATATCTGGATGAGGGCGTGACCTTCACAAAAGATTTCAGGTCAGATGTTGAAAGTTTACCATGCACGTATAAACAAAAATGATCGCAGTTGCAGAAGAGAAATTCTTCAACCGTTTCGGTCATTTTTTGGTATATTCGGCGTATGGAGGAGGATCAGTCGAAGTAAAATTAAATGTGGTAGAGAAATGGTTGGGAGCGCAACAGCGAGCTTGGCAGAAGCGAAGGCTGTCCTGACAGCAATATTTGAGGGGTTAGACGTAGCTAAAATAGAATTTACGGCAGGTAGCAGTCTCTTCGGTAGCGTGAACGCAAACACTTTGTTGGAGCGATGTCATATTTTCTGGGAAGGCGACCACACGATCCTTCGTGAGAAAGAGACAATCGCTGATAAAGAAAAGATGAAGCTAGAAATGGAAAGCATCTTTGCTCGTAAACCCAGCGATTCTTACTTCGGAAATGACACTAGAACCTGTTTCTGTTGCAGTAGCTCATGTCGATCCCGAAAAAGACAAAACAACTTACAACGCACTTAAGGATCTTTTGGGAGGTGAATTTAAAGTTCTTGAAGAGAAGGAGGAACAGAAACGTGCAGCGGAGGCACGTACCAAGAAAATGGATGAGGCAACTAGAAGAAAAGAAACTGTTCAAGATCCAAATGAAAGGGAAGGTGGATGTTTTCCCTCAAGCTCGGTAGTTAATGTCCGGAGCAAAGAGGCAGCCCAGCAAATATATCATGTTTTCACTTAAAATGCGTCAAAAACATTTAAAAATGCGTTCTCCTGACTTCGCTATCTGAGAGAAGATACAAAGAACTTTTTGTGAGATTATTACGGATCAGTTCCTAGGTCGTAGGTCCAACACACTTGCGTGGGAATAAACTGGACTGTGTATTCTTCAATGCTCCGGAGTGATCACAAACGTAAACTGCGTAAATCCAATTGATCTGTTTACATATGATCATTACCTTATCGAGTTCGACATCAAACTTTGTTTTCAAAAAGCAAAAGCGGTAAGACGAACAGAATATGACTTTAAAAATGCGAGGTCGGGAATCTTCGAGTTAAGCCCTTCGAGTTAAGCCCCTCGAGTTAAGCCCTTTTCGAGTTAAGCCCCGACCACGCCCTGTTTTGCCATGACCACGCCCTTTTTCAACTCGAAGAACGAAACACGATTTGGGATATTCGAGTTAAGCCCCGGGGCTTAACTCGGAGTTTGACGAAAAAGTTGTTGCTCGAGTTAAGCCCCGACTTTTGAAGTATGTCAACGAGTGCAATATTAAATTGTCAAATTTTCAATACAAAAAAGCCAAAGCACAGAAATTTTCCCAAAAAGAACTTATATATCGCTTATGTAATACGATTATCAAAAACAGTCACAACAATTATCGTTAACAATATTTTCGGTTTTTCATATTAAATTAATATTAAATTTAACAACAGGTAATTACTTTTAGTGGATCGTTTATCCACAACAAAACAAAAAAACAATGTTTTAATTATAAAGTAGAGATTGTTTCAATGTGCACAATATCGACAAATTAACAGTTTTACTGTAACAGAAAAGGTGCAATCTTCTCTCATCACTTTGAACAAAACTAATCTATTAAGAAAATGATCGAAAATGACAGCGCGTAATAACTAAAGAAAAAGGGAGGAAAGGGAAGGAATTTCGGTATAGAATGAGCTGTCTTTGACAACTTGCGCCACAGTTAATAGAAATAGACCAGAGACTCACGTCTCATACGCACATGTACAGTAATTTCATTAGCCAAACGGTCACGAATGGTTTCATTTGAGACCTTTGGGTAAACAAATTATCATGGGGAGAAATTGTTACATTTGAGTAAAATACCCATTACCCAAATGTAACAATTTATCCCCGTAATAATGACGCTACGTCACCATTTCGTTTATAAAATTACTAATCGCTCCGCAAATATTCCCGTTAACAAGTCAACGTAGCGCCATTATTACGGGGATAAATTGTTACATTTGGGTATTTTACTCAAATGTAACAATTTCTCCCCGTGATAATTTGTTTAAAAAAATGAAACCATTCGTGATTCGTAACCATTTGGCTAATAAAATTACTGTACATGTGCGTATGAGGCGCGAGTCTCCGGTCTATTTCTATTAACTGTGGCGCAAGTTGTCAAAGACAGATCATTCTATACCGAAATTCCTTCCCTTTCCTCCCTTTTTCTTTAGTTATTACGTGCTGTCATTTTCGATCATTTTCTTACTAGATTAGTTTTGCTCAAGGTGATGGAAGAAGGTTGCACCTTTTCTGTTACAGTAAAACTGTTACTTGTCGATATTGTGCACATTGAAACAAACGGAACGAGTTAGGATTCTAGCTATGTACTTTATAATTAAAATATTGTTTTCTTGTTTTCTTGTTTTGTTGTGGATAAACGATCCACTAAAAGTAATTACCTGTTGTTAAATTTAATATTAATTTAATATGAAAAACCTAAAATATTGTTAACGATAATAGTTGTGATTGTTTTTTATAATCGTTTTACATTAGCGATATATAACGAGTTCTTTTTGGGAAAAATTCTGTGTTTTGGCTTTTTTGTATTGAAAATTTGACAATTTAATATTGCACTCGTTGACATACTCCAAAAGTCGGGGCTTAATTCGAGCAACAACTTTTTTGTCTAACTTCGAATTAAGCCTCGGGGCTTAACTCGAATAACCCAAATCGTGTTTCGTTCTTCGAGTTAAGCCCTTTTTGAAAAAGGGCGTGGTCTTGGCAAAACAGGGCGTGGTCGGGGCTTAACTCGAAAAGGGCTTAACTCGAGGGGCTTAACTCGAAGGGCTTAACTCGAAGATTCCCGACCTCGTTGTATGATGTCTGTCTACAGCTTAAAGGATGCACAAAATAACAGAAAATTTTCGATAAAATTTTCAAACCATAGATTGAATGACTAATCTTAAAAGGCAGTATTTTGAATGACTAATCACAAAGGCAGTACTTATTTATAATAAAAGACAGATACGAAAAGAAAGAAAACCATTTGCTCACCTCGCATCAGGAGATGTAGTGAAGGTCGAATTTCTACTTGATTTTCTGTCAGGCGAGAGGCTTGCTTTTCCTGGATATCTTGCAGTGTCTTTGGGAGATAGACTGGACCTCGCCCGATGACTTGTACCCACATCCTTTTGTCAAATAAAAAAATCGGTTTGCGTCGCCAGAAAATATGTTGATCCAAAGACCAAACTATTAAAATGCACTAAAATGCTAATTAAAATGCAACGAAAGTTCACACCATTATAAAATGGCCAAATAAGACATTTTGCGAGTTAGAATAAAACGCCAATGTGGACGGCGGACAGAAGGATAAAATGTAAACGGACGAAAAGAATGAGTTGCGGACGGACAAAACGGCAATTAAGATAACAACATTATACTAAACATTTTATAAATATCAATGGTGGCATTTACGCATGATAACACAAGGAATAATATCTTTACCTCAAATACTTATTGGCGAGTATAGACAAAAGTTCATATTAAATGTATGCTGTAATGTATGCTACATGTTCCCTTCCTCGGAACCGCACGAATCGGCGGGCAATAACTGACTTACCATCTGTCCCATTCTCCTCTCTTTGAGATTTATATGACAAAAAGACGCCCATTTAATTTGGTCAAAATGTATTTTATGAGATTTGCTTGCCCAATCAAGTGTTTAGGAACTTTAATCTCGCGCTCGCGATTATATAGAATACATATATAGAATATGAAAATCATAGAACTATATATTTACGCAAGAACTAGAGAAAGCTATGATTTGGTATACTGTACGTCCCTTTTGGTCGTGTAACTGTTAAAACCAGACCAACATGTTAATTGGTCCTATACATTACTGCATGGATGCGACATTGAATATTGGATCTGTTTCAACACCATGATTGGAAATGTTGCTTGATGTTGGAAGCTGTTGGTTAAAGTTTCACTTTATTGTTGGACCAAAGTTCAATGTTGGACTACTGGACTGGTTTGAACCGACATTATAGAAAAGTACATATACGCTTCCTGGTATATAAATCTAATTACCGTACCTGGAGGTCTGACATGAACTGCTTATTGCTATGATAAAGATCGAGATCCTACAAAGTGCACAAAATAACCAAGTGTAGAATCTGAATAACGTTTAGAATAAAAAATATATAATTGATGATTTTACTTTATTATTTTATTTTTATATACGGAACGTTAATGCAGTAACGGGCAATAGGGCATTAAACATTCATGAAAATTATCTGCCCTAAACCTAGCCTGAACGTTTATTCTTCGAATATAAATTTGTAGGGTCATATAGTAGTCGAGTCTCTCTCTCTTTGTATTCGCCAACAGTTAATATTGCTGCCTGGGTTAGCTGTGTGTACGCAACGGTGACGACAAAGGTTCTTATTTTATCCAAGCTATACGCAAGGTGCAAGCTAATTCACAAAGGCATGGACTAGGCTTAGCAGTGGCACACGCAAATCATAATATGTCTTTACCTTTAGTTCACCTTGAAATGATGCTTCCTTAAGATGGCGATTTTCAAGTCGTACTGCATCAAGTTGCGCCTTCATAACCTTAGAAATACATAAAATCGAGTATTGGTATAAAAATAGGAAGATCCTTCGACTTCAAGCCCTTTTTAATTAAACCCATCCAACATGTTGATCTAACATACCCAACATGTTGATCTAACATGCCCAACATGTTGATCTAACATACCCAACATGTTGATTTAACATATCCAACATGTTGATCTAACATACCAAACATGTTGATCTAACATACCAAATATGTTGATCTATCATGCCCAACATGTTGATCTAACATAACAAACATGTTGATCTAACATACCCAACATGTTGATCTAACATACCCAACATGTTGATTTAACATACCAAACATGTTGATCTAATATACCCAACATGTTGATCTAACATACACAACATGTTGATTTAACATACCCAACATGTTATCTAATATACCAAACATGTTCATTTAACATACCCAACATGTTGACATAACATACCCAACATGTTGATCTAACATACCAAACATGTTGATCTAACATACCAAACATGTTGATCTAACATACCCAACATATTGATCTAACATACCCAGCATGTTTGTGATGTTACTCTGAGTGTATATCCACACCGGGCAAGCTTGAAAAATATGACTGGCCACGGTGGGAATCGAACCTACGACCTTTGGAATACTAGCCCAATGCTCTACCAACTGAGTTACGCGGTCAGGTCGGTTCGAGTATGTGATATTTCGGAACTGAGTCTAGTTCCTTCGATACCAATGCAATCTAATAATCATGATGTTCTGTGTTGGTGTATTGTACTCAGGTGAATATAATGTTTGTGATGTTACTCTGAGTGTATATCCACACCGGGCAAGCTTGATTTTTCAATCATTCACCTGAGTACAATACACCAACACAGAACATCATACCTAACATGTTGATCTAAACATCATCCAACATGTTGATCTAAACATCATCCAACATGTTGATCTAAACATCATCCAACATGTTATCTAACATACCCAACATGCAACTTCGTACCCAGGTTCTCAATATTCGCTCCTACCTCGCTTGAATTGAGACCCTGGTATCGGCTGGTCACGTGACCCGTCATATTTTGGATTTGCTCAATTGTTTTAGGGAAAGTATAGTAAGTAGATATTGTAGTAAACATTAATATTGTTAAAATAACATTACAAAACAAAACATCTCAGTTACTATCCTTTCCCTAAAAACATTGAGCAAATCCGCCAGAATATGACGGGTCACGTGACCAGCCAATACCAGGGTCTCAATTCAAGAGAGGTAGGGGCGAAGATTGAGAACCTGGGTACGAGGTTGACCCAACATGTTGATCTAAACATCATCTAACATGTTGATCTAACTCATCCAACATGTTGATCTAACTCACCCAACATGATGATCTAAACATCATCCAACATGTTGATCTAACTCACCCAACATGATGATCTAACATCATCGAACATGTTGATCTAACATCACTCAACATGTTGATCTAACATCATCCAACATTTCCTCCGCGTAATGCTAAATGACTGAAAAACGGCAAACTTCGCAAGGTTATATTATCCGCATTTTACAACATTTCGCAACGAAACAGTTTGATCTAACATCACCCAACATGTTGATCTAACATCATCCAACATTTTGATCTAACATCACTCAACATTTTGATCTAACATCACTCAACATGTTGATCTAACATCACTCAACATGTTGATTTAACATCACTCAACATTTTGATCTAACATCACTCAACATGTTGATCTAACATCACTCAACATGTTGATTTAACATCACTCAACATGTTCATCTAACATCACTCAACATGTTCATCTAACATCACTCAACATGTTGATCTAACATCACTCAACATGTTGATCTAACATCATCGAACATGTTGATCTAACATCACTCAACATGTTGATCTAACATCACTCAACATGTTGATTTAACATCACTCAACATGTTGATTTAACATCACTCAACATTTTGATCTAACATCACTCAACATGTTGATCTAACATCACTCAACATGTTGATCTAACATCACTCAACATGTTGATTTAACATCACTCAACATTTTGATCTAACATCACTCAACATGTTGATCTAACATCACTCAACATGTTGATTTAACATCACTCAACATGTTGATCTAACATCACTAACATGTTGATCTAACATCACTCAACATATTGATCTAACATCACTCAACATGTTGATCTAACATCATCGAACATGTTGATCTAACATCACTCAACATGTTGATCTAATATCACTCAACATGTTGATCTAACATCACCCAATATTTTGATCTAATTTAGCATCATCGAACATGTTGATCTAACATCACTCAACATGTTGATCTAACATCACCCAACATGTTGACCTAACATCATCCAATATGTTCAGTGGATGGGAACCAACATAGTCCATCTTATACCAATGTTAAGGTGGCTCGATACAGTTTTCAAAAATTCAGGTGTTCAACACTTTGACATGTTCAAACTACGCATTTTTAGGATTTATTCAGCAGATATTGGGTTTTTTATATATTTTCATAACTCTACTTTCAAATTATATTAGTTTTAGTAACAGATAGTTCGTTGCTATGACGACATACGTGTACGAAATTCACTCCAAAATGGTCTATCGCCTCGTATAGTTGGAAAAGAAGCATGGTGACCCCCAATTTTTTTTCGTGCATTATTTTACTTGGACGAAAAGCTAACATTTAGCAGAATATAAAAAATTCTGTAATGCCATTTTTTTGGAGAATGCGAAAATGTCATATTCTTCGGTAAAATTTTTTGGGCATTACAGAATTTTTTTATTTTTTGAGTATAATGAAAGTTTTTAGCGGTGCAATACAGCATGCAAAATTTGAACATAAAACGCTATAGAACACGCGCGATGGCGTGATATGGGCGCGAGCAACTGCTCACGTCAGGTCATTTTGGAAGTTCTTTTCATTTTGTTAATCAGTTTCCGCGACCTGCGCGTAAAAATGGTCACCCGGTTTTGAGTTTGCGATTCTTGAGCAGGGTTCTTGTGATAACTATACCGAGCTACCTTAAGTGACGTTGGATTAAGTTTGATTTCATTTAGAATTTTAACCGAATAATGTCAGGCATGTGACGATATACAGAACCATGCACACGACTGTTTGGCATCGTGCACGACGTGCAGTGTATATAGCATTGAGAGTCTGAGACAATCTCGTACCCAGACTATACTGTTCATGTCCAACATCTAACCTGCGAACGGGAAGCTCTGGGAGCGAAATTGGTCTTGCATGAGATTGAGCTATTTGAACTGGGAAAAATACTCTCTTTTAAAAAAGCGGACTTCAGCAGAAGCTCACCTGGCGTACTTCACGTGAAATGAAGGAGGTGGTTGTTAAGTTGCACAAATAAAAGATGAAGACAACAAAGTGATCGTATCAGAATCAGAAATTGTCCAGGGACCGGTTGTATAAAACTCTTAACTACTTTTCAACTATACCCATTTTGAGTTGAATAGTATAATTAACTCTAAAATACGCGATTCTGATTAGTCACCTTTTCCACTAACAATAGCTAATTAAATCATTTTTTTATACAACCAGCCCCAGCTTAATTAATATGCAAAAGCTCGAAGAGCGGGTTTGTGGGATATTTTGTTAACCATAAAGCAAAATCAATTAACGCTATATAATACTATTAGAGTTGCTATACATCATTCAACAACGTACATGTAAATCAGCCATCGCTTTATCGTATTCTGAATTGCTACTTCGTAAGTCTCTTTCCAGTTTCTTCATCTTTTCAGTTATACTAGCAACAGCAAGGTCTCTAATGCGAGAAACATTATATTAAATATGTTAGAAAAATAAAACACAGTACATTACGGAATAGTGCAGTACAGATTTGAAGAGCTGATAGCTTAAAATTCCTATGAAATAAAACTTTTTAACAAAATATTTTCCCAACACTACTTTTTCTCAAAAAAGCTGCAGACCTACAGCCCTGACACAAACATATTGAAATGTCAAGAAACAGCTTATGTATGTCAATTTATGATGTGTAGAGCATGAAATCGAAGATATTTCACGTCAACGCGTGGATAGAAAGTTTTTTTCTGTGTTAAGAAGAATACATTTACGCAAATTAAACAAGCGAAAAATTTATATTATTTTATTATTAAAGCTCAGGAGTCCAAATAGCTAGGCCGTCACTCATAAGCCAATGGAGCAGTCAATAACAAGCTGAGGTAAACTAGGGAATCACCTCTGGGGAATCACTTACTCTTCCCAAACTGAACGTGGTTTTATTTCTGAGCTTTTCAAAGAATAAATCATTAATCATATATATATATAAAATAGTCTGTGTTAGGTTATAAAAACCAATGATAGAGTGCTCAATGGATAACCAGAGCATAATAGAAAGACACAAAAACTTAGTAAGCTTTGTTTGGCATATTTATTACTATTATTACAGTTTCGTACCACGTAAATAACGTGGCACTCTTCAGATAAAATAGCCTATGTTTAAACATAGGCTATTTTATCTAAAGAGTGCCACGTTATTTACGTGGTACGAAACTGTATAGTAATAAATATGCCAAACAAAGCTTGCTAAGTTTTTGTGTCTTTCTATATATATATATATATATATATATATATATATATATATATATATATATATATATA